GGCCTCTTGAGGGGCCTCCTGGGGGCCTCCTGGCGGCCTCTTGGGGCGGAAGGCTCGAGCTTGCGGTTCGTGGTCCCCCTCTGGGCCCCCTCTTGGGCCCGTCTTGGGGCCCTCTTGGGCCATCTTGGGCGCCTCTTGGGCCGTCTTGGGGCCCTCTTGGGCTGTCCTGGGGCCCTCTTGGAAGCTTCTTGGGCCGTCTTGGGGCGGTCTTGGGCGCCTCTTGGGCCGTCCTGTAACGTCGGAAAGCCCAAAAGACAACTTTGTTGAAAATGTACGTTTTACAAAGGGAATGGGCAATTTTTGCGTCTAGGGGCCCTCTTGGGACGCATGTTGGAGGCTTCTTGGGGCCTCTTGGGGGCGTCCTTGGACGTCTGGGGTCTCCTGGGGCCTCTTGAGGGGCCTCCTGGGGGCCTCCTGGCGGCCTCTTGGGGCGGAAGGCTCGAGCTTGCGGTTCGTGGTCTCCCCTCTGGGCCTCCCTCTTGGGCCCGTCTTGGGGCCCTCTTGGGCCATCTTGGGCGCCTCTTGGGCCGTCTTGGGGCCCTCTTGGGCTGTCCTGGGGCCCTCTTGGAAGCTTCTTGGGCCGTCTTGGGGCGGTCTTGGGCGCCTCTTGGGCCGTCCTGTAACGTCGGAAAGCCCAAAAGACAACTTTGTTGAAAATGTACGTTTTACGAAGGGAATGGGTCAATTTTTGCGTCTAGGGGCCCTCTTGGGACGCATGTTGGAGGCTTCTTGGGGCGTCTTGGGGGCGTCCTTGGACGTCTGGGGTCTCCTGGGGCCTCTTGAGGGGCCTCCTGGGGGCCTCCTGGCGGCCTCTTGGGGCGGAAGGCTCGAGCTTGCGGTTCGTGGTCCCCCTCTGGGCCCCCTCTTGGGCCCGTCTTGGGGCCCTCTTGGGCCATCTTGGGCGCCTCTTGGGCCGTCTTGGGGCCCTCTTGGGCTGTCCTGGGGCCCTCTTGGAAGCTTCTTGGGCCGTCTTGGGGCGGTCTTGGGCGCCTCTTGGGCCGTCCTGTAACGTCGGAAAGCCCAAAAGACAACTTTGTTGAAAATGTACGTTTTACGAAGGGAATGGGCAAATTTTTGCGTCTAGGGGCCCTCTTGGGACGCATGTTGGAGGCTTCTTGGGGCCTCTTGGGGGCGTCCTTGGACGTCTGGGGTCTCCTGGGGCCTCTTGAGGGGCCTCCTGGGGGCCTCCTGGCGGCCTCTTGGGGCGGAAGGCTCGAGCTTGCGGTTCGTGGTCCCCCTCTGGGCCCCCTCTTGGGCCCGTCTTGGGGCCCTCTTGGGCCATCTTGGGCGCCTCTTGGGCCGTCTTGGGGCCCTCTTGGGCTGTCCTGGGGCCCTCTTGGAAGCTTCTTGGGCCGTCTTGGGGCGGTCTTGGGCGCCTCTTGGGCCGTCCTGTAACGTCGGAAAGCCCAAAAGACAACTTTGTTGAAAATGTACGTTTTACGAAGGGAATGGGCCAATTTTTGCGTCTAGGGGCCCTCTTGGGACGCATGTTGGAGGCTTCTTGGGGCCTCTTGGGGGCGTCCTTGGACGTCTGGGGTCTCCTGGGGCCTCTTGAGGGGCCTCCTGGGGGCCTCCTGGCGGCCTCTTGGGGCGGAAGGCTCGAGCTTGCGGTTCGTGGTCCCCCTCTGGGCCCCCTCTTGGGCCCGTCTTGGGGCCCTCTTGGGCCATCTTGGGCGCCTCTTGGGCCGTCTTGGGGCCCTCTTGGGCTGTCCTGGGGCCCTCTTGGAAGCTTCTTGGGCTGTCTTGGGGCGGTCTTGGGCGCCTCTTGGGCCGTCCTGTAACGTCGGAAAGCCCAAAAGGCGACTTTGTTGAAAATGTACGTTTTACGAAGGGAATGGGCCAATTTTTGCGTCTAGGGGCCCTCTTGGGACGCATGTTGGAGGCTTCTTGGGGCTCTTGGGGGCGTCCTTGGACGTCTGGGGTCTCCTGGGGCCTCTTGAGGGGCCTCCTGGGGGCCTCCTGGCGGCCTCTTGGGGCGGAAGGCTCGAGCTTGCGGTTCGTGGTCCCCCTCTGGGCCCCCTCTTGGGCCCGTCTTGGGGCCCTCTTGGGCCATCTTGGGCGCCTCTTGGGCCGTCTTGGGGCCCTCTTGGGCTGTCCTGGGGCCCTCTTGGAAGCTTCTTGGGCCGTCTTGGGGCGGTCTTGGGCGCCTCTTGGGCCGTCCTGTAACGTCGGAAAGCCCAAAAGCAACTTTGTTGAAAATGTACGTTTTACGAAGGGAATGGGCCAATTTTTGCGTCTAGGGGCCTTCTTGGGACGCATGTTGGAGGCTTCTTGGGGCCTCTTGGGGGCGTCCTTGGACGTCTGGAGGCCATCTTCAGCATCTCGGAGCCCTCTTGGAGGCCTCTTGGAAGTTTCTTGGGCCGTCTTGGGCGCTCCTGGGGCCGTCTTGTCTGACCGGGGAGGCCTCCGGCAAGCCCCGACGAGCCTCCGGGCCCCCCGGAGCCCACATTTGTGGTCGATGTCCCGGCCCCGGGCCCCCGGACCCGGTGCGCCGTTATATGTATAGGGGCCCTCTTGGAAGCTTCTTGGGCCGTCTTGGGGCGGTCTTGGGCGCCTCTTGGGCCGTCCTGTAACGTCGGAAAACCCAAAAGACAATTTTGTTGAAAATGCACGTTTTACGAAGGGAATGGGTCAATTTTTGCATCTAGGGGCCCTCTTGGGACGCATGTTGGAGGCTTCTTGGGGCCTCTTGGGGGCGTCCTTGGACGTCTGGGGTCTCCTGGGGCCTCTTGAGGGGCCTCCTGGGGGCCTCCTGGCGGCCTCTTGGGGCGGAAGGCTCGAGCTTGCGGTTCGTGGTCCCCCTCTGGGCCCCCTCTTGGGCCCGTCTTGGGGCCCTCTTGGGCCATCTTGGGCGCCTCTTGGGCCGTCTTGGGGCCCTCTTGGGCTGTCCTGGGGCCCTCTGGGAAACTTCTTGGGCGGTCTTGGGGCGGTCTTGGGCGCCTCTTGGGCCGTCCTGTAACGTCGGAAAGCCCAAAAGCCGACTTTGTTAAAAATGTACGTTTTACGAAGGGAATGGGCCAATTCTTGCGTCTAGGGGCCCTCTTGGGACGCATGTTGGAGGCTTCTTGGGGCCTCTTGGGGGCGTCCTTGGACGTCTGGGGTCTCCTGGGGCCTCTTGAGGGGCCTCCTGGGGGCCTCCTGGCGGCCTCTTGGGGCGGAAGGCTCGAGCTTGCGGTTCGTGGTCCCCCTCTGGGCCCCCTCTTGGGCCCGTCTTGGGGCCCTCTTGGGCCATCTTGGGCGCCTCTTGGGCCGTCTTGGGGCCCTCTTGGGCTGTCCTGGGGCCCTCTTGGAAGCTTCTTGGGCCGTCTTGGGGCGGTCTTGGGCGCCTCTTGGGCCGTCCTGTAACGTCGGAAAGCCCAAAAGACAACTTTGTTGAAAATGTACGTTTTACGAAGGGAATGGGCCAATTTTTGCGTCTAGGGGCCCTCTTGGGACGCATGTTGGAGGCTTCTTGGGGCCTCTTGGGGGCCTCCTTGGACGTCTGGAGGCCATCTTCAGCATCTCGGAGCCCTCTTGGAGGCCTCTTGGAAGTTTCTTGGGCCGTCTTGGGCGCTTCTTGGGCCGTCTTGTCTGACTGGGGAGGCCTCCGGCAAGCCCCGACGAGCCTCCGGGCCCCCCGGGGCGCACATTTGTGGTAGAGGTCCCGGCCCCGGGCCCCCGGACCCGGTGCGCCGTTATATGTATATATTTTTGGAGCTTTCGTCTTCCCCCCACTCCCCATGTTTTTGTGTGTATTCCCCTCTTGAAGAGTGCACGCCTAGGGCTCAACCAGCACAGCAGCTCGGAAGCTTCACGCCTCGGCTCCACGATCAGCAGCTTCGTGTTGCTCGGTGCGCTCTGGGGGCGGGAAGCTCCTTGGTGACAGGGGCACCACGAAAACACCTTTGGTCGCTTGGGCGTCGATTCCCAATCCTTGTGCTCTTGCATCGCGCCGGGCGTGCCCAGAATCACGCCAGTCCTTATCGATGCGCCTCGCAGGGTGATTCCTTCAATGGCGTCGCGGCACAGTTGCGAGGTTCGAAGATGAAGAAAATCATGGTAAAGGCATGCATCCTGAAATATGAACCGCCTGGGCGTCCTAGAGCGCGAGCCGGTTTAGACCTGCAGAGAATGTTGGAGACCTGCGGATGGATTTGGCTTGCTGGTCGCGGTTCGTTTTCTGGTGTGCCCGCCTTTGTGGTGGCCTTATAGGGGGCGCGTCGTACTCAGACTCAATGTCTACGTCATGCGATGTCTGTGCTTCCTTTTCCTCTCTTCTGCGTCTCGTCTCCCTGGGAGGATCCTGTGCCCGAGTAATTCTCGGGCGTCCTCGGGGACTTGAACAACTCGTCGTCGGTCGCCGTCCGCATCCTGCTGTACCTCGTGGGGCTTCGACCGTCCGCCCTCATGCTAGGAGGAGGAGGAGGAGGAGGAGGAGGAGGAGGAGAAACAGGAGGAGGAGGAACAGGAGGAGGAGGAACAGGAGGAGGAGAAACAGGAGGAGGAGGAGGAACAGGAGGAGGAGGGGGAGGAAGAGGAGGAGGAGGAGAAGGAGGAGGGGGAGAATCGCAGCCTCGTCGCGGGGGGACTAGCCTACCGTCGCTCGGGCGCGAGTAATTACAAACATTGAAATATCAAATGGACTTTAAACAATACGGCCGCAGATCGGGCAAGAACCCGCAGCGCGGCGTGGCGGGCTATGGGACCACCGCGGCGAAGTGCCGAAGAGAAGGCGGGCGGGTGCCCGACCGAAAAAAGTTCACGCTTCAGAGTGTGGCAGGAGGCCCTCGAGGCCCAGGCCTCGGCCCGACACGAAGAAAAAGTCACGTGCATGGGGACATGGACTTGTGCGACGCGTCCCCTGCACGCAAACGCGCGGCAGCCTTGGCCGCGGGAAGCTCTTGCCGAGCAGCGACGCCGTCGTGCCGTGCCGCGGCTGTGGTGACCGACGGGCAGATCAACGCTGCGACGTCGCCTGGCGAGGCTCGCCGCGGCCGTCGGCGCCGCTGCACCACGGGCGCTCACTCGTCCACGTGCTCCACGGGGACGCGGTGCCAGCAGTTGCAGTTCAGCCCGCGGAGGTTCCACAGGGGCTCCGCGCGCTCCGGCTGGGTGCTGTAGGCCGAGTCCGTGGCCCTGCAGAGCACCTCGAACCGCTTGCCGCGGAGGGGCGCCGGCACAGGGACGGACGCCTCCCAGAAGGTCCACGCCCAGGCCCGCGTGGGGTGCTGGTCCTTGCCCTCGGCGAGATCTGCAGTTGCCCACGTCTTGCCGTCGTCCAGGGAAACGTCGACGCGGATGACGCAGCGCCCGCCGCCGCTCCAGGCCCAGCCCTTCACCTCGACGTCGTCCAGCTCGATCACGGCGCCGCTCTTCGGGGAGACGATCGTGGACTGCACCGGCATCTCCTGCATGGAGTGGAGCTTCTCCACGTCCACGGACTTGGCGCACTTGACGTTCGGCGCGAAGCCCTTGTAGGCCATGCCGCGCTGCCAAGTTCCCTCGGCCTCCTCCTGCGATAGGCGGATGCGGCCAACCCACTTCACGTTCCGGACGCCGACCACGCCCGGCACCACGACCCGCAAAGGCGCGCCGTGCTCGCCAGGCAGCTCCTCGCCGTTCATCTCGTACGCCAGCAGGACGTCGCCGAAAGGGCTCAGCGCCTTCTCGATGGGGATGCTGGCCTGCATGCCGTCGACCCCCTCGAAGACCACGTGCCTGATGCCGTGGCACTCGACGCCCTCGAGACTGAGGCCCGCGCAGTGCGTGAGCACCTCGCGGAGGTACACTCCGCCCCAGCGCGCGGTGGAGATGGCGCCGCAGCCCCACGGGATGCCGCTCGTCTTCTCCACCCTGTCCAGCTCGCTCCGGCGGTTGCCGCCGCACTGAATGGTGGAGACCACCTCTCGCCGGAGAAACCGTGTCTTCAGGTCCTCCAGGGTCAGCGACACGCTCTTCGCCCCGTGGCCGTCGACAAGGAGCTTGAACTGCGAGGGGTCGATGACGGGGACGGGGTGATGATGCCGGATGAACCACACCGGGTTTGGCGTCACCCACGCGTCCATCACCAACTCCATGGGCAGCTCCGCGTTGCAGGGCTTGTTGTTGTGGAAGATGAGCCCTGGGTGGCGGTCCCTGGGGTCGGCGCCGTACGGGTCCTCGCCAGGGTCCACGGGCACGGGGTCGGCCAGGTCCCCGATCCGCATAGCCTCCAGCTGCTTCATGGCGGTGCCGCGGTTCTCGTGCTGCTGGTAGATCCGCCAAAACGGGTCGATTGCCTTGCCGGCAGCCAATAAGATCTTGTCCTTCCCGCCCGGGTGGTTCTGGATGAACTCCGTGATGTCGTAGACGCCGTCCTTGTAACTGACCCAGATGCCAGACTCCAGCGTCGTGTGCTCGGCCACCTCCGCCTGGGTGTAGACGGGCCAGGCCTTGGCGCTGCAGTCCACCTCGCCGAGGCCCTCCAGCGCCAGGCGCAGCTCCTCCAGCCTGAGCGCGCTGAGGCCCGTGCCGGTCTGCTTGTCCTGTACAACGTAGACGTGCCTCGCCTTCTGGTCCTCGTGGGTGGAGATCTTCGCGTCACGGATGTCCAGCTCGTGGTGCTTCAGCAACTCCGACGCCTCGCTGAGCAAGCCCGGGCGGTCCCTCTCCTCGGGTACCGATGGCGCCGCTCCCTGGGCCTCTCCCGGGGCGCGTTCTGACCAGGACTTCGAGGATAAGCCAGCCGTGGCGACGAGGGCTCTCCAGGACGGGCAGCGATACCCGTAACTTTACCTTCTCTGCTCTCCACGTCGATGGTGATGATGCTCGTGCTGGCGTCCTTCCCCTGGCGCAGCACGGCCCGCGCCTCGCACTGCGCTGGCCTCGACGCGGCGGCGCCCCGGAAGCCGCGGCGGCTGGGCGCCGGGGCGCCGCCGTCGCTGTCGCAGAGGGCCCCGTCGCGCTGGCTCGCGAGGCCGGCCGCGGCCGCCAGCGCACCGCCGAGCGCACCGAGGCGGCCCGAGGGGCCGCGGGGGCCCTCCGCGCGGCGCGGCGGCGCGGCACGGCGCGGCGCCGCCGGCGCGGCCACGGCCGCTCCCGCGGCGGCGCTCGGCGGGGCAGCGAGCGCGCCGCTGCGCAGCGCGAGTCGGCGGGCCCCGAGCCTCACCGCGGAGGTCATGGCGCGCGGAAGCGCGCCGAGGCGCTCGCTCGCGCCTGCGCGCTGGGGGTGGGGCCTGGGCTGAGGCCTCGAGGGACAACACGGCTGCGGAGGAGGAGGGAGTGCGCTACATCCACCGTGTGCGGCGCAATCCCTGGCATCCAGCGGCGAGAAAGACTCCATGGCTCGGGCGGTCGTCGCCCGTGCGCCGAAGACTGGAAGGCGAGGGCCTTCGAGCCCGCGCTCGCTTGTCAGGAAGCGCTGGCATGTGGGGCCGACTCCCCCCCCTGCCAGAGCAGCAAATGATCCTGGGGGCACGGGCCGAAGGCACCCTGACCTGTGCGCGCACAAGCGATCGCCCGCGCTGGGATCTGACAGGCGGC